TAAAAGATAAAGGTTAAACACAAATGTGTATTTCACAAAAAGAACTCCATTTAGTGAAGCAATAGGTTTTTCAGCTGTTTTAACTGTTTCAGCACTAGAAACCTAGGACGTCTCGGGCGAATTTACGGCCTGACTCGTAGCCAGTCGCACAACCAATCTCCAAATTCAATTATCAAGTAGTATCTCCCAAACTAATGAACGCAGCTCAATGAAAATTGGAACACGTATTCATCATAACCTAACGATGATGTTTAGCTCCTAAATTTTTTTTTAAAGTTCCGCCATTCGTGAGTTACGCGTATATTGCGAAACAGGCCGAAATTCGCAGTGATCAAAAAATTTCTTCCAAACTATTGAACAGATTTGAGCGAAATTTTTAATATGCATTCCTAACTACCAAACGGTGATTTTTTAGCTTATAATTTTTTTATTTTGACTTCGTTTGTGAGTTTTTTTTCATTTACCGCCATTCTTGATTTCACACTTCCTTATATATTTGGCCCGTATCGCCGGGTAATTTGTCGCTTAAATTCGCGGCGATCAAGAAATTTCTTCTAAACTACAGAACAGATTTCAACGAAACTTTGTATATAAATACCTAACCTCTCAACGGTGATGTCTAGCTCGTGACAATTTTTCTATTTTGCTTTCGTTCCCGTTTCGTATACAGATATAGGAGGAACGACCGGCTTTTCTACCGGCCGGTTTAACCAAGATCGAGCCATGTACCTACAGCCATATAACTCGCAAACGAAGGCAAAACGAATAAATTGTAAACATCACCGTTGCTGAGGTTAGGTATTTAAATACTAAGTTTCATTAGTTTCATTCAAATCTATTTCAAAAGAATTTCTTGATTAATGCGAATTTAAGCACGTATTGCTGTTTGAACCACGAATGAAGGTGAAAAGGAAAAAAAATCTCGCGAACGAAGGCACAATCGAAAAAATTTTCACGAGCTGAACTTTACCGTTAGGTAGTTACGACTGCAAATTAAAAATTTCGTTCGAATCTGTTCAGTAGTTTGGATGAAATTATTTGATCACTGTTAATTTCGTCCCGTTTGCCATATAACTATGGCAAAAACAAATGATGGCAAAATTCAAACAATTTTCGCGAGCGAAACATTGTTAGATATTAATAATACGGAGTACCAAGTTTCATCGAGTTAAGTTCATTAGTTTGAGAGACATTCCTTGATCAATAAATTTTGAAATTGGCCGTGAGACCGGCCGCGATTCCGGCCGTTAATTCGTCCAATACGTAAACCCAGGAGAGGTTAAAAACAGATCTGGGTGAAAAAACCATCGCTGGGAGTCAGGTGCTGCACGTGTTGTGTACAAATCGTCAAACAACGTTCGCACTTCTGACATTGACTTCGGACTATCGCCCCCCTATCGCCCCCCTACCGTTCTCTTCTTTCTTACCGCCCCCCAAAATCTTTCCACCGCCCCTAGGGGGGCGATATCGCCCACTTTGGGAACCACTGGTCTAAATGATCACTATGCACGAGTGCAGTTTTGTTTTCCGGCTCGTTTTTTTTTCCACCCTTGGCTATCAACACCCTACTTGGCTGATCCAAGCCCTGTGATGCTAGTCTTTGTTCGACCAAGATTCCACGGATTTTTTAAGTAATCGTCTCGACGTTCAACATACAGGTCCTCTAGATGCTTTTTAGAGGTCTGACACTGCTATTTCATAATCTGTAACGTGAGTTGAATCAGGCTGATAGTGATATCCATGGCACCATTAGCCTACTCGACAATGCAGCTGCTTGGCCTGCGGCCAGCCGCTGCAACCCTCGATCCATCCGTCCGTCAACGAGTCAATTTGCTCCTTGCTACTCCCGCCCCTCGTCTGTCTTATCGCGGATGCCGTGCCGGTCGTAACAGGCGTACTGCCGCCATGTATCGGGTTGCGTGCAACGGTGGTGCGTTTGTGATAATTGGCAATCGGCCATTGCCACGACGGCAGCCATCTGTGCTAGACTGTGCGTCGGCTGATCCTTCTGCTGCTGAACGTGGACATGTGTCGGCTTGCAGGCCTCATAACCTGCGCAGCGTCCATGTGGATCGTCACTCCGCACAGACGTGTTGCCGGTTAATGTTCGGCAGCCTAAACATCCGCTCGCTGAACAACAAAGTTGACGAGTTCCTTCGCATCCGCCGCTCGCGCTCTTTGGATGTCGTCTTCTTGACCGAGACCTGGCATGATGCTGACTCGGTTTCCATCGCGCGTCTTCGGGCTGAAGGACTCCAAGTGGTTGAGCGTGCACGGCCTCGCGCGCAGCCCAACACCCTAGTGACGAAGCACGGTGGACTAGCGACCGTCGCCTGCGGCGTGAATTTGACCAGGCTCGACATCGGCGCCCGACCCACCACCTTTGAGCTGTTGTGTGTCACGGTCGCTTGCGGCTCGTTAGCGTGTGTTGCTGTCGTCATCTATCGTCCCGGATCAGTTGCTGTCGCACGTGATTTTTATGTTGAATTAAGCGATGTTTTAACTGGACTTGTGACCCTCACCTATCACGTTTTTATCACTGGCGATTTTAATGTTTGACTGGATCGTGCCGACGACCAATGGACGCGTCAGCTGAACGATCTGCTGTCTGCCTTCGGCATGGTCTGTCACGTTACCTTACCAACCCATGACCTCGGCGGGTTGCTGGATGTTGTCATCACATGTACCGACATTCAATTTCTGCCCGTTGACATCATCGATATTGCAATATCCGACCACCGACTACTCCAGTGGATGGTGCCATGTGTTCGCCTGGCGTTGACGTACAGAGCCGTCATCTGTCGCCCATGGCGCGATCTCGACAGCGATGTTTTGAGCAGGAGACTTCAGTTGTCCCGACTTGGTCGGCCGGACTCATGGTCGGAGCTGTCGGTGGATGATCTTGCAAAACTCTACGATATCGAGAATGTCGCGCCTCGAAGCGTGGTGTTCGGCTGCTCCAGCGGGCTGTCCATCGCGCGAGCAGACGTAATGATCCTGCTGCCAGGGCTGAAGCGACGTCCAACTGGCGGGATGCGCGGCGCGCCCATGTCAACCTTCTTAGATCCAAGAGGGAGTCATTCTGGCGTCTAAGAGTTGACGCACAGCGCGGCGACCCTCGGGCGCTATGGCGTTCGCTGGATAGGCTCATGGGGAGGGGTCGTGCGGATGCCTCGGGCGACGTGAGCGTGGAAGGATTCCATGCCTTCTTTGAAAACGAAATTTCAGCTGTGCCTCTACCTACTGAACAATTTGAAAACGTGAAAACCTCTCACACGCCAAGCCGATCTCCTACAGTTTTCAAGCTACAACAATGAGACATATACCATTCGATGCGCAACAAAATTATCTACAAAGTTAAGAAGCCGTTTTTTCAATTTCGTTATAGTTTGGATTTTATTGGAAAAAAATGGGGGTGGCAGGGGGGATAATCGAAAAATTTACAAAAAATGCTCCCACACCCACAAAAAATGAGAATTAAAAAAAAACGGCCTCTTAACATTTTGGATAAGGTCTTTACGCATCGTATGATATGTGTCTCGATGTTGTGGCTTGAAAATCCTAGGAGGAGATAGATTTCAAAAGTACCCCCTTTTTTGACCGTTTTCTAAGAATTTCACATTTTCTTTCATTTTTTTAGAAAAATTCACAAGAACAAAATGCAATTTTTTCCCCATTTTACATACGTGTACCAAGTTTCAGAGTGATTTGTCTGTAAATAGCCAAGATAATTTTTAGGGTAGACGCTCCCCTTAAAAATATGCAATGATTCTAAAATGCGCAAATCAGAAACACCGGAACTGGAAGCTAAAACTTCGAAGTCACTGTCAGAAACTGGAACATCGCACTGCCCAGCGTGAGCCCGCACAGCCGAATGAGGGGGGTGTTACAGTAAGTTACCAGTTCTACAACTCCTGCCCCTATGTTCTGCGACCCTAGAATAAAGATTGCTAGACGTCATCCCGACATACGCAGATCATAACGTGCACAACTATAGTTGTGCACAATGTGCATCTGCGTACATCAGAATGACGTCTTGCAATCTTTATTCTAGGGTCGCAGAACATAGGGGCTGGAGTTGTAGAACTGGTAACTTACTGTCGCGCCCCCCTCATTTGGCTGTGCGGGCTCACAGCCACACAGCCAATGATGCACATCATGCACAACTATAGTTGTGCACAATGTGCATCTGCGTACATCAGGATGACGTCTTGCAATCTTTATTCTAAGGTCGCAGAACATAGGGGCAGGAGTTGTAGAACTAGTAACTTACTGTCGCACCCCCCTCATTCGGCTGTGCGGGCTCATGCCGGGTAGTGCAATGTTCCAGTTTCTGACAATGACTTCAAAGTTTTAGCTTTCAGTTCCAGTGTTTCTGATTTGCGCATTTTAGAATCATTGTATATTTTTAAACAGAGGCCTAGTTTGAATTTATCTTTTAGCTCTTACCCGCTTGAAATTGTAAATAGGTAGGTTTTACAGCTTAGGTCTTTTGTTGTAATCTTGACTGTACTAATCACTGATTCATCTAGAATTTTCAAACTGATGATGGAGCTGGACTCCGAAACATTTTCTTTAAAGATACTATGAATTTTTGTGGAGTTTTCTTTGCTTTTAAGTTTTTGGAATGCAGATGTTTAAAATTTTATGAAATGACATATTTGCAAACTGCTATACTTTTAATTGAATATAAATGCATTACTGGTACTTTGGAGCTTATCCTTCGCCTAATAAATAAATATATATATCTTATAATTGTTGATTCATGGGAAAGAAATATTGATTGAACAATTCCCTATCTTTTCTTTTTTTGACAAGCTTGAGACAAGTTTTCTAATTTTTTATTTTCTTTGTTGATAATGTTGTGCAAACCCTAGAGAATAATATTGTTTGGGAAAATTTCTGAAATCATCTTTTGAATTTGATGTAAAATATGGTTCATTATAGCAATTGCATTTCAAAACTTGCAGCTTCTTCATGCATGATTGATTTTTGTGCAGATATGTTCTGAAACCCAGAGGTCACCTGACTCCCAGAAATTGGTGGTTAAGAAGGCTTGGGACCTGGCACTTGGTCCCATCAAGGGTGTGCCTATGAATTTATTTCTCCTCTACATGTCTGGCAACAGTATCAGCATTTTTCCCATTATGATGGTGGGGATGATGCTCATGAGGCCTTGCAAAGCTCTCTTTGCAACAAATGCTACTTTCAGTACATTTGAGGGCACCCAAGCTATATTGCAAGTAAGTGAGCTGATTAATTGAATTGGCTTTGGAACAAAGATGTGAAAACTAGAATAGTACCTCATATCTAATGTTCATCAAGGTTTAAAATAATCGCAATTGAGATTACTTTTGAACACATTCAAATTGATAGTTTTTAAAGCACAGCATAAAATGAGACAAATTCAAAAACCTGGAGATTAAACCACACATATTGGCTTTGAAAATAATGTATTGTAATACAGGTATCAACTCATACTTATTAGTGAGTATTTTACTTGTATGTGGTACAGTCTTTCTTTTTGTAATATTCATTAATTTGTATTCAATATTACAGAAAGCAACCTACTTACTGGGGAACTTGGCTCAGATTGGACTTGCATTATACAAATGCCAATCATTGGGACTGCTACCAACACATGCATCGGACTGGTTAGCATTCCAAGAACCAGCATCTCAAGTTGAATTTGTACATGGAGGCTTTGGCTTATGGTAGAGCAACACATTCCTGGCCATATGTTGTAGATAATATAAATGGATTTCAGTTGCTTCTGGTAAATAAAGCCTTCACCTTATTCAGGCTATTAATAGCTTAATATTTTAGCTCATAATTTGAACTGTAAATGTGAAAATTACATTCACTCAAATGAAATAAATTAAACATTAATTAATGGTGAATCATCCATGCTTAAGAACCTGTATGAGTATTCACTTGACTTGCGCTCAAAACCTTAAAGTTTCTGCTGAAGCAGTCTGGTTTATGGTAATACTGATAAAGTTGTGCAAAATCAGAACTTATATGCAAAATTGTTTGTTCAAAATATTCAGTGAAATATGATATCCTGAGAAACAGAAGATTTAAACTGATATTTTGGCAAACTCGTCCCTTACGTCATCCTATTGAGAATGTTGAAAAGACTTGGTAAAAATCTCCTACTTTCATCAGTACCTACCTACCCCATTTTAATGATGAATGAAATTTTTTACTAATCAATAGAAATGTTGTAAAATGTCAACAATAATTTGGTGACCCTTATGAGAATTACGTTATGAAGTAATGTAGGTATTCTGGATAGATTAAATTGGTGTTCTCCATCTTCACTGGCAAAAACTGCTTCGTTTCCTTGTTCAAAAACACCTTTTTTATTGCTAAACCTGAAATGTATGTGCATTTGTATCAAGCTATGTTGTAATTTGTTTTATTTATGAATCACTGTAAGCATAAACTTAGCTAATGTTGAAGTATATTTGCTTAACCCATAGAAGGAATGAGAATTTACCGTTGTACATGTCTATAAATCGGGTAACAAAATGCAAATTATGTGTACGCCTCCCTTTTTCTGTTTTGCTTATTTTCAAATATTTGTTGAAGGTTTCAATTGTTTTATGTATTTGACTCGTTAAAATACACTATCCCAATATTGGATTCATGTCATTTGCTAATTAGTATCTGCTTCTTGTTCAGACAAAATAATATTCAGTGTTTTATATAGGTGTATATAGGATGCAAGACCTTTATTAAGCTGAACTCTCAACCTGGAGAACGACATGAATTCTTGCAGTAAGACATTCGTACATTACTAGTATGTAAAACGAATAGATTTTAAATTTTACTCATGGTACTTCTTTTACAATCAACCCTATTTATTCTGTTGCTTTGTTCGATGCTATGATCTGTTGCTCAGCATCTATATATACTCTCTTTGGTCGAACTTAACTAGGAAACTAGCCCCTGTTTTTCCTTCTAAATTCAGTGCTAAACTTAAATACGTTTTGTTGATGTTGTTTTGCCACTTAAAAACATTGACGGTTTGACTCAGTACTTTCTCCGCACTACTCCATTTTTCTGGCACATTTTATGGTAGGTTTTATATAAATACGGTTGGTAAGATCGACTTTTGTTATCCTTTGAAGGCAAAATAGTCAAAAAGTTTCACGAAATCGTTCTTGTTGATCAAAATTAAATTTGCGTTGATACGGTAAGGTCTAATTGGAAATATGTTGTGATTGCCCTCGTACTTCCCGCAAAGGCTTATGTAATAATAAGTTTGAGATCCTTAATCTGTTAATGCGCGTGTTCGAATAAGGAGAGTATCAATGAGGCTAAACTGGACTTCTGAGTTATTCTTTATTACTGTATTGACCTGCCAGTATTGATGGGAAGAATGCACTCATTCTGTAATGATATCAACAAATTTTTACAATTAACGATAAATTTAGAAGATCGGCATGCTACTGAATGAAATAGAGTATCATAGGTAATGGAACTTAACTGATTCAAAATAATGAATGACGAACACGGGAGATATATGAGGAAAAAACGTTTCTGCAATCCAGAAATTTGAGATTCAATATTCTATCATTAAATGAACCTCATAATGCTAGTACATCAATCAAAGGGAAGAATACAACGTTGTTTAATGGCCCAGTCTATTTCTTCAATATGCAATCCGTGATATACCCTTGTGTTCGCACATTTTTAAAGCTGAGATTAAATGCAAACTAGGTTTACAGTTCATTTTGATGAAAGAAGTGATATAATTGTATTTCTTTCGAATTAGTTATACGAAACTCACGTATGCATAGCTTAGAAACCACATGAAAAAATAAAGATCACGCCAAAAATAAAGCAATTAATTTAGGAAAGTCCAAAAAACATTAAAAATGAACCTGTTTCGAGTTAACTGTGATGAACTATATAACGTAGTTATCCCGCCATATATATGGTTTTTTCGGTATAATTCGAGTTTGTTTATTGTTTCTGGATTACTAAAATTTAATATTTTTTCTGATTCTTCTTCTCGGTTAGTTTAACAAATTAATTTCTACTTCTCGTTTGTATCTGATTAAAATCGAATCAAAACACGAGTTTCATGTCACCGTACGCATGACGAACATTCTAACCTTGAGAAGATCCTGCTATTTAGTCGTGAGAGTTCACACCGTTGTTTACCGGGCCATTTGAGTCCCACCGTGCTTATCGCGAAGAAGTGTATAGAGATCTCTGAAAGCAAGACTGAATTGGTTGTAGTGAATTAGCGAACTATTGACATAATATTATCATTTTGTAATGGTCTCATGTGTGCTCGATTTTATTCTGAAAACTTTCGATCATAAACCGGCTTCGTCAAGTGTGCTTTAGTCCTTTGGAATTGGGATGATGGATGGCTTCAGATTGAAAACCGAATGCTCTGGAAACAGGTTCAAACCAGTAGGCTAACTAATTCATTACGATAATAGTTATACTTGTGAAAACATATTTTGTTAATAGATAGATTATATTTGACACTTTTTTTAACAACTTATCTTAATTGTCACACGAAATAAGTGAGTTTAATGTAGATTCTGTCATGAAAGTTTTTTGATCAATCGAAGTGCTACGGTTAGGTACCTACACCTTGGCTTCGTCCTAAGTTGTTTCTTGTATGAATTCACCCAGCGTTTTATTGAATTCATTTTTTAGCATAAAGATATTTACTGATGAACATTATTTTGTCCCAACGAGTTTACCCCCGAAATATGAATAATCATTGTATTAGTTTAGACTTTAGAGATTTTGTTGATTATCGAATTCAGTAATTTCTGAACTTCAATGCCACTAGACTCGCCAGAGCACAAACCATGATTCATGACGAATTGACGATGTCGCTGTCTTTCAATGTAAAAGATATAATATATTAGCAAAACTAAGTCTGAGCCACCACATCTAGCATGACCGAAATCTCTTTGTAGTTTTGTAATAATATAGCCTCAGTGCCTCACAAACGTACCTAGTGCAGTGCTGACAATTATTGAACAGTTTTTATTGACGAGCGGACAGTTGAGTGCATTTGTGGTCCCACGTGAAATTAACGGCACATTTCTGACCTGTGCCTCTCCTCACTGAGGCCGGAATTAGTTTCGGGCTAAACAAAGAAGTGCTCGGCGGCGCCGGTACTGGAGATGTGTTCTGCCTACTGGGAACGTAGGCAACTTTTATTTTGTCAGCTAGACTTCCCTTCGTCTGTTCGTAATCCGCATTATTTTTCCAGTCGGCTCGTACTCCAGACGACTTTTTCCAGTCGGCTCGAATTCTAGGAAAATTTTTCAAGTCAGCTCATATTCCAGACGTCTTTACATTGTCTGCTCGTATTCCAGACGCCTTTCCCATGTCTGCTCGTATTCCAGAAGACGTTCCATTGTCTGCTCGTATCCCAGACGACTTTTCTCTGTCTGCTCGCATTAACGAAGACTGCTGCCTGCTCGTATTTCAGACGACTTATCTCTGTTTACTCGTATTTCAGACGACTTTTTCCAGTCTGCTCGTATTCCAGCCAACTTTTTTCAGTCTGCTCGTATCCCAGACGACTTCTCTTTGTCTGCTCGTATCCAAGACGACGTCTCTTTGTCTGCTCGTATTCTAGACGACTTCTCTTTGTCTGCTCGTATCCCAGACGACTTCTCCCTGTCTGCTCGTATCCCAGACGACTTTTCCCTGTCTGCTCGTATCCCAGACGACTTTTCCCTGTCTGCTCGTATCCCAGACGACTTCTCACTGTCTGCTCGTATCCCAGACGACTTCTCCCTGTCTGCTCGTATCCCAGACGACTCTGCTGTATGCTCGTGTTTCAGACGACTTTCCCCTGTATGCTCGTATCCTAGGCGACTTTTCCCTGTCTGCTCGTATCCCAAGACGACTCTGCTATCAGTTCGTATTCCAAACAAGTTATCTGTGTCTGCTTGTATTTCGGAGGACTTATATGTGTGCTCTTCATACGAAGGACTTATCAGTGCCGGCCGTTACCAGAGACCAATCAATCCTTCTAATCTGCGACACTCGTCACGCTGGAGCAGCCTCTGTATTCTCAATATACGTTGTCCCCCCTCCCCCTACACTGAATTCTTTTAATTTTTTAATTTACAATTTTTAGAAGAAACTTTTCAATCCCATTTACCCTAAGTATCCATTCGTAAACTAACTGTAAAGTAATTGCCCCATCTAAACCGAGTTTATGCATGCTAATCTCATCCCCTTTCCAGATTTTGCAGATGTTATTGTAATACAAATCTTTTTAAAAGTTGAAGCTAAGTTAATAATAATCACCATTGTTGAAACAAATTGGCCTTTTCAACGCCGCCGGATTGGAAATGGGAGCAGACATTGTGGCCACCGCGGAAGAAACACTCAGGCCTCCAATTAAATGTTCGCTGTTCTGCGTGCATGACGACGATTTTCTACTGATCAAGTTGAAGAAGAGTTTGTCCAATGGAGATGGATATGTCAGGACAATTAAAACAGAATTGAAGAAAAAATTAGCAAAAATTCAAGCTGGTGAAAAATTTGCAATTCGTTCAGCTCGGGAGAGAAGAGATAATCTTCCTGCCATAATTAAATACAAATGCATCGATTGCAACATTGAATTTGCGAGTTTTTCGCAATCTAGAGTCCACGTTTTTTGCAGTCATTACTGCATACCATGTTCAACGTACTTTGAAAAAGTCGAACTCTTGGAACTACACACGAAGTCTGAACACCAAGGCAGTCATGTATGCAATACTTGCTGTCTCTTATACACATCTAGATNTGTCGTGCCCTCAGTTCTTCCGGAGTTCAGTCGACTCGAGTTTACCATTTTCCACTGCGGAGCAACGGCTTCTGGAGAGGAAATCCCTTCATGCTCTCAGCTGTTGGGTGAGTACACGTTTCTGTTACACGCTTATTTACTCATGGTAGAAATTATATAGAGAAAGAAATCTATTACTTGGAGCTCTGCTAGATTTCATGGATTTACTGGGACGATCATGGCTGAATTCCCCTTGAACACTTTAAGCCAAGGATAGATAGTAGAGCTGCAGATTAAAAGTTTTCCTGTAACTTTGAACATTACTAGGCAGTTTAAATACTTGAATCGTCAAATTTAGTTTTTTCGTTGTCGAATTATTTGTCAAACGAGACTAATTTGCATTTTCTCGAATATTCTCTTGTAAATCCTCGAGTCAGTACCCTCCCAAAGCCATAGAGGCCATCTAGTCCAATGTTTTTCAATTTTTTTTGTAAATTATTGTGGCTCTTACCGAATTTTTAATACAAAAAATTCGGAATTACGCAGGGTTGGCTAACATCTTAATAAAAATAGCTATGAATAAATGTAAGTACATTTTTCAATAAGATAACTTACATAATTGGTTTTTGTTACATGCAACATTGTCGCTCAAGGTGAAAACATTTGGGAGTCTTTAGGTAAAGGAATGCTTTTTACATTTGTTTTTGAAATACATCATATTGGAATGTGTTGTATATGAACTTATTACGACTTTTTATGGACAGTGGACTACGAACTTACGTCGATTGAACATCGAACGAACCCGACCGTCGTTAAGGTGGCCAGAAGAGCGATCAGTCAAGCTCGGTATATGAATGACTTAGTAGAAGATTTCTTCGACTTTTCCCCAGGTAGCAGTGAGAAATCTCCGGATGAGATAGCAGCGTTTTTGGAAGAAATATTTGTTAGGAATGAAAAAAAAAGTAATTTGCATGTGAAATCCGGCTCAGAAAACCCTGAAAATAGTTCTGGTGCAAACGCTGTTTCCGAACCAACTGCAACTACGAACGTTGTTTCCGAACATAGTGGAAGAACGAACACTGATCCCGAACAAAGTGGAACCACGAACGCTGCTCACGAACAAATTGGAACCGCGAACGCTGTTTTCAAACAAACTGGAACCACGAAAGAAGTTTCCAAGCAAACTGCAAACACGAACGCTGCTCCCGAGAAAACTGGAACCGCGAACGCTGCTTCTGAACCAACTGCAACCACGAACGTTGCTTCTGAACCAACTGCAACCACGAACGCTGCTTCTGAACCAACTGCAACCACGAACGCTGCTTCTGAACCTGCTGGAACCGCGAATGCTGCTCTCAAATCAACTGGAACAACGAACGCTATCTCCGAACCAACTGCAACCACGAACGCTGCTTCTGAGAAAAATAAAACCGCGAACACTGCTCCCGACCAAACTGTAACCGCTAACGCTGCTCCCGAGCAAACTGGAATCGCGAACGCTGCTCCCGAACAAACGGGTACCACGAATGCTGCTTCCGAACAAACTGGTACCGCGAATGGTGCTCTCAAATCAACTGGAACAACGAACGCTGCTCCCGAGCAAACTGGAATCGCGAACGCTGCTCCCGAGCAAACTGGAATCACGAACGCTGCTCCTGAACAAACTGGAATCGCGAACGTTGCTTCTGAGCAAACTGGAGCCGCGAATGCTGCCCCCGAACAAACTGGTACCACGAATGCTGCTTCCGAACAAACTGGTACCGCGAATGGTGCTCTCAAATCAACTGGAACAACGAACGCTGCTTCCGAGCCAACTGGAACCACGAACGCTGCTCCCGAACAAACTGGAACCACGAACGCTGCTACCGAACAAACTGGAACCGCGAACGCTGCTTCTGAGCAAACTGGAACTAAGAACGCTGCTTCTAAGCAAACTGGAACCACGAACGCTGCTTCAGAGCAAACTCGAACCACGAACGCTGCTTCTGAGCAAACTCGAACCACGAACGCTGCTTCTGAGCAAACTGGAATCACGAATGCTTCTTCCGAACAAACTAGAACCACGAAGACCGCTTCCGAACAAACTGTGACCACGAACGCTGTTTCCGAACAAATTGAATCCACGAACGCTGCTTTCGAACAAATTGAATCCACGAACGCTGCTTTCGAACAAACTGGAATCACGAATAATGCTTCCGAAAAACTTGCAACCACGATCCGGTCAGAGTCAGACTCATTTAATGAAGGCGAGACGAAGATTTCGAGCCAAGCTAACCTTGATATTAACTTCAGATTCTCGAAAAGAGATTCAATTGAGAACGAGTTATGCTGTCAAATAAAAAGAATGTGTTTTCATGACAGAAAAAATCCTGGTTTGTCTTCCAGCAATGTCCGTGGTGGCAGCCTGAGCGAAAATGTACACAAAACTCTTTGTAAACGAAAATCTCTCTCGGGTCATCTCGAGAATGTCAAATATGGAGCATCGGCGGTCAGAAAGAAAACTGTAGGGAAGTATGGTCGGGAATTAGCCCAGAAATTGCGTAGAATGTACCGTAATGATAAGAGAATGGCTTTTCGTAAAGCAATTGAAAAACATTGCAAGTTAAAGCTCTTCAACGTTACATTTGAAGATAACACTAAGTCCAAGTTTTCCATGAGGGAAAAGCAAGTGAACCGCCTCAATCTACCTACATGGATTAATGCGGAAAATAGTGATGACGATTATGGTTATGACACTGACGAAGATTGTAATAGTACCGAGCTATGATGTTTTTTCATTAAATATTGTTGTTGGTTAAGATTGTTGCAGCGATATGAAGACGAGATTATGCTATCTCATTGTGAACTCGTTTCTCAAAACTTGAAATATCAACGAAACTTTCATCGTGCAAGCCATTTTTTAATTGATTTAAATTATGCAACGGATGAGTCGTTACTTTTTGCTGTTTACAAATTCTGTGTTTTTAAAACAAAATTCTCATGAATTTACATTTTGATGTCTGCTTTCGGGCGAATTCTCATCATAATACTGGCTAAATATTTAATCTGTTTGTGTTCAATGCATACAAAATTTATTTGAATTGTGACCAAATGGATTTCCATTTAGTGACAGTCTAATTTTGGATGGTAGAAACCAATTTCATCCATTATATAATCATCTGCTTTGATGTATAAACACAATTCCCAAGCTCTGACGAATTTGGTGTCAGAAGCAATTAAAAAGATCAAAAGACCTGATAATGAATTCCTATGCTGACTTCTTGCACTCAGCGTAATTAGAAAGGTGTGATGTAAATTGTATACTTTCGTGTGCTTGTGAGTAACCGAAGGTTTCTCTTTTTACATTATTTTATTTTTAAGGACGAAATTTGTGTCGTGAAGATCTTAAATTTCTCCATGGAGTTTACAGTGCGGCATAAAAATGTGAACTAAACGTTTGTTTTTCATTCCCACCACTTAAAAATATCTTCAGTTGTGCATTTAACTTATTTTTGATCACCGTCTTATTTAACGGACTATGAAAGAAAATAGCAAAAACGTGCTGTGATGAATTTATCATTTCTTAGCCAGTAATAAATTCAGTGCGTATAGTTTCGAGAAAACGAACCGAATTGACGTCGTGTTTTGTGTTGAGAAAATTCGATAGAAATCTTGCCAATTTCTGAGTTACTTGGCCGCTTCTCTGCACTCATGTCGAATAGCCTTAAGTGTGGTGCAGTTTAATTAATATAATCTATAATACAATTAGAGTTTTGGCAAATTATTTCTAAACTTGTTAATTTTCACAAATTGCCGCAAATTTAACGTTCGTTATTTACTGCACCTGCTCTTAGAATACACGAACCTTGTAAACAAGGATGTCAAACTAAGATGTAAAACGACTGAAAAATGAAATTGGATGAATGTAAAACTTAAACTGCTGACGATTGAGGTCTGATGAAGTTCATGGCCGGTTTCGGTAGAAAGTCGCGATTTGAATAAAATTTGCTTCCCTTGTGAAATTCGCAGCTTATGATAATTTTTATTAACAAATTCTGTGCGGGAAGTTTCGTTGCTTAATTTTTCTTTGTCTTAAAGTTTCGCCATTTTCGCGTCGTTTATGCCTATCAGCGAGCAGAATTGTGTGATCTCACAATTCTTAGCCAGTAACTATCGTGTATGTAGCGCTCCATCGTCGCTTTGGGTTCGGTTTTCAAGGAATATGTCTTCGCTCGAATTGATTTTTAGATAATATTGATCCCTCGCGCTGCACGAAATTGTCGACAGAAAATAGTTCACAGTCCATAACATTCGTATTGACTTATTCTCAGCAAATTTATTACTTAAATTCGACTGCGTATAGAGCTATATGAGAATTTAAAATAGTACTTTTCATGCGTTGCCATACATTAAATCTCATTATTCAGTCCATTCAAACGAGGGTTTCGTTTACACCTGATTCGTAAAAAGCCCATTTGGGGCTGCTTAACAATTGTGGCAATATTGTCATGTGGCTTTAAGAATATTGTGATGTGGCTTTGACATTATTGTAATGTGGCTTTGACAATACTGTCATGTGGCTTTGACGTTATTGTCATGTGGCTTTGATGATATTGTCATGTGGCTTTGACAATATTGTAATGTGGCTTTGATGATATTGTCATGTGGCTTTGATGATATTGTCATGTGGCTTTGATGATATTGTCATGTGGCTTTGACAATATTGTCTTGTGGCTTTTGATCGAAATCTGCTTACGCAAAACGTTACAGGGTTAGAGACGACGCCTTCCAGGTAAATCACGATGAAACCTCGTTGATTACGAGTTGATTTCGTTGAAGCGACGTTTAATCAACATCATTTCAAAGTCAGATCCCCTGGTGGGACGTGTCGTGAGTGGGCGACCCAATGCATGGCGACTGATTCGTTATGCAACGTTCTTCGAAACCACAGGTAAGGCTTTCTTGGTTTACGATAATTCAAAGAACAGTGAATGGTTAAGATACTGGCATAGAGAAGGACTTATTCGTATCTTTTTAAAGAATTACGTCAACTGTAATGAATTTATTTCGAATATAAGCGAACTACTCCACATAAATGCATTCGTAGTAAAGTCTTAGTTTACGATAATTCAAAGAACAGTGAATGGGTTAAGTCTCTGAGTACTAATTCGTATCCTTATATGTCGCATCCTAGAAATGGACTTTGTGACAAGTCCTGCATTATTTTTGACTAAGTTTGAACTTAATACTACGTCTTTGCTACGCACGAAGCTGAAGTGTTCTGAATGGATAAAATACTTCAAGTTCGGAAAAATTAGAGAACTTTTGTCCGCATTCCCTAACAATGCGCAAGCATACGAAAATTCCATGATATTTGAAATTATGTCTTTGATGATTTCTACCATTCTTCTTACCCTGCAAATTTCCTCAAAATAATTTAATGTCAATCGAGTAGTTTTTAGTGAAAATGTCGCTCCTGTTGCTGCTATTCTGCAATTTGTACCATTTTTCTCATCTTGTAAATGTACTAAAATAAATTGATGTCTATCGAGTAGTTACATTTTTCTTGATAAATATCGCTTGTGTTTTTGCTATTATATAAATTAATTGAATTATGTGCATTTGTGTGCATTTAAAGTATCTGTGAAACTCTTCAATACTTTTACTGAGCCGTCTGCTCGAGTGCGATTTTGGCGATTTTTTGCGGTTTTCTTTTCAAAGGCATAATTTCTGTTTATTTTACTTCAGTCGCGAGATATGAAGTGGCCGAACGCTTTGAAATTGTACTGTTTTTGAAAGTTCAGATTTATTTTGAGACCCCAGGCGTTTGCGCTTAGGATTCCAGCCATCCAAAGCATCAAGAGCGAGTAGCGTTAAGGGGAGCGTCTGCCCCAAAAATTATCTCGGCTATTTACAGACGGATCACTTTGAAACTTGGTACACAAATGTAAAATCAAAAAATAGACAGCTTTTATTCGTGTCAATTTTTCGAAAAAAATGAAAGAAAACGTGAAATTCTTAGAAAACGGCCAAAAAAGGGGGTACTGTAGAAATCTATCTCCTCTTAGAATTTTCAAGCTACAACATCAAGACGCATATCATTCGATGCGTAAGGACCATATCTATCGATTCGTCGTAGCTTTTTTCGAATTTCAAATTTTTGTGGATGTGGGAGCATTTTTCCCAAAATTTTCGAAAATTTTTCGATTTTCCCCAATTTCCCTTCCCTTTTTTCAAATTATTTTCAAAACTATAACGAAATTGAAAAAAAGCTACGACGAATCTCTAGATATTTCAATTGCAAATTGAATGGTATATGTCTCATTGTTGTAGCTTCAAAACTCTAGGAGGAGATAGGTTTTCCGTGACAATAAGTGTGAATGTTGAGGAGAGCGCGACAAAGTCCCGCGCGCACCACAATATGCGCTCAATGTAGCATAGATTCCAAACTAAACGTTTCTGGAGCTTGATTCCACTCAAGGATGATGGGAGCAACTACATGCGCATCTCTCACTACAAAGCCCGGAGGCACACTGAGTCAGACCTCACAAAAACACTATATTTGTAGTGGTGGACAGCGAATTATCTCGTATCTAATTACTGAAAGAATTACCCCCCCGCCCCCCTTTCATGAAGTGTCGTGTACGTGAAAATCGACGTACAGAGATGGTAGTGGTACCATTGGATAGGCCAGAATGTCAGCTTTAAATCAACGTAGAGAGATGGCAGTGGTACCGTTGGATAGGGCAGAATGTCAGCTTTAAAATTAGTATAAAAACCGAAAAAGTAAAAATTTTCAATTTTAGGGTAGACGCTCCCCTTAAGCTTCTCTAAACATTACTCAGCTTGACTTGCGATTGTCGTTTAGGTTGGTACGTGATTTCCAATCCTTATTGAAATAGTTATTTAATTTTTGTTTAAAAATTATGCACGGTTTTTAAATTCATAGTGACAATTATTTTTCTTCAAACTTCCAGGTCAAATCACGTCCCATTACTCGTATGCGCTGGAGCTATGGAGAGGAAATTCAGTTTTATTTTGGAATATATTGACGCTTCTGTTGAGGTCTCAGGATCAGCAGAATTTATTGAGAGGAGCTCAAGCTGTATCTGAAATATTTCTTAGCTTAAGTTATTATCACTTCATGTCTTGTGCGGGCAATAAACTCAAATTTCAAAACATGAATGAACTTCAATCAGATATGAAAATTGTAACAGCGTCCTTGCATTACATCGCTAATTTAAATTTAACTCAAGATTTGAATGGTAAACCAGGTAAATAGGTTAACGTTTTTGCTTGAATATTTCACATAACAACCGTTCGAACGAACCGAATTATTTTTAAGCAACTTTCGTAGCAATGATACTGTTCGCAGCCTCTTACGGTCATCAGGCTCTTGTGGAAAGTGTTCGCTTTCGCCGACTTGATATTGAGACATTATTGATAAAATTTGTTCTGCCAAATCTGAATTTTGACGGAACTAAATCGACGACGAAAAACCTAGTTCATCTCCTGCAGAATTGCTGATGTTTATATGCGTCTTTGCTCTCATGTTTTTATGAAACGCTAAGAATAATAACTGGACGGTACGCGAAATTAAACAAGTCAGAAGCCCCCACTTGTTTCCTCTCGAAGTTCAACGATTAGGCAACTTTTTCCGAGTCAACGCGAATTTTAATGACCACGCCAGAATGTACGGTAACTTCCCGCAGGCCGGCAGTGTCCAGGAGAGTTTGGGTTCAGACCAGCAACGTAGTTTTCCTGTTGACGAGAATCTCTCTTCTCTATTATACCTTCTAGCGGTGATATTGGCAGCCTTCTTCCAGATGTGGTCGCTGCGATACAACGTCCAGGCGCCTGTGATCAACACGCAGCGTCAAGACCGTCAGCGAAAAGAAGCTTGGTTTGCCAAAGATGAAATCTACACGATTTCAAATGTGTAGTGTGTCAAGATTTTACTTTCTGCAACTCGTGCGTGTAAGGCAGCTTCTAGAGAAGCAATTGTTTGGCATCTAAAGTGTACGTATTATATCATTTTTTTTGCGCGTGATGTTTGACGCGTTATAAAATGTTAATTTTCGAGTGCAATGTGGTACGCGCAATAAACTTTATTCTACGTTTCTGGAATGCATTATGTTATGTTAATTTAAGCCTTACATAAAGTATCAGTCAGTTTTATCAAGTCGCTTTTATTTCGTCCAAAAGCCGATTTTGTGCTACCTTATTTTCGCGCTACTCAGATCGAATGTTGTCAATGCTTATAAAAGAAAATGATTGTTTATTAAATGTGCGCTCTACAGTAAAATGGATCGAGACCCAATGAATTAGGTTTATAAAATAAGGGGAATGAAAGAGGTATGGGTGACTAGGAAAATTTATATTACCGAATGAGTACAAAAAATAGGAAGGCACAGGAAAGTCTCCTTTGCTTCTTGAAGATAAAAAAGAAGAAACCCTTAATGGATATTTTCCCTAAAACTCAGAACTTTACATATAGATACAAAATCTTACGCATTCATAGTAGAGGCCGCAGAGCACGTGCGACCTAACGAATCAATATTGATTTATAAGTTTAAAGCAAATGAGCCGAATAGCCTTGAAATCGTGTTCTGGTATTCTCGTTGTACAGATTTTACGATGCACGACACTTAATAATAGTGTAAATTTAATAGTGATATTCCTAAATCTGCAGTATTACTATCTCATTGATTTTTATTAATACAGTGAATATAATTATTATATTCCAGAATGTACGGTCAAAGCGCAGCTAAATTTTTATATCCTGAGCCGAATATATTTAATTGATAGTAATTGATTTAACAAGTTAATTTACTGATATTGAATCTCGATATCTATAATCAACCATTGCAACCAATCTGCTCTGGAACGAATATTACAAACTTCCAAGTACTCTTCAGTAATCATTATGTGTGAGTGTAATTGGTCATTATAAACATACCTAGGTGCTGTCGGGGAATTTCTCAATGTGACATTTAGCATTTCCCTGGTTTTATAGCAATCAAAAATTATACTTAATATTGAGATTTTTTCCATTTGGTCCATATGTAAATAAAGTTTCTACTATTTACTAATGTCAAATTTTATTTACCCAAATACTTCTAATAATTTGAGAACAAAATCGGCGAGTACGGAAACGAAGAAGCTGGAGTAAAATTCCTGAAGCGAAATCCTTATCAATACAATAGGGAAATTTTCCCACCATTGATCCGCAATTTTACACATAATTATTGGAATACCATGAGGCAATTACTAAAAAATCGTAAAGGATTTATATTTAGTAGTAAATTTTATCAAGTGAACAATTCAATGCTATCATCTATAGTGATCAAATTATCGAGCCGTCAAGGAATAACCTTATGAACTCAAATTAGAATACATATTCTAATAATTTATTCGCTTTAAAATTGTGGCAATATATTTTGTTCGGTTGATCAAGTTTATATGCGACATCGCTTATTTTGTTCAGTTTCTTACAATGCTTTGTTTTTTAATACTGATCACTTCACTAATAAATATTAGATCAGATAACGGATGTGAAAACTTCTGTTTAAAAAATATCGTACGGTAATTTAATATCCCGAGAGCGCCGACTTCAGGTAACATAAGCATAAATATATACAGGAATTTAACCAAAAAATAAGAAAGAGAGAAACATTGTTTGAAAAAATGAAAGATGAAAATTTAAGGAGAGTTCTTCTAAATTTGAATAAATTGACGCATTTTATTTTCACTTTTTACAAATGCGAAAAAATGGATGTCAAAGTCAATTTGAAAACAATATAAAATGGAACGTATGCTGTTTAAAGAGTTTTCGATAATTTGAAATTTTGATTTAATAGAATTACCAGCAACTAAGGCATAAAGTAAAGACTGGATTTCGTTGTACGAGAAAAAAAATTCGACTAAACTGGTGAGGTGTGATACCATTAATTAATTTCATTAAAATTGCAATAATAAATTAGAATACAAAAGTACGATGATGCTGCGGTAAAGTTGAGAGATCGGTCAGGAGATCCACATTTACATGGAATGGAATCAAATGCCAAACCGACGAAAAATTAAAAAGTATAGGGAAAAGTGCCATTTTTCAGCGAAAACGCCGAACAAAAATGAGTAGGTAAGTAGTCGCATCGTTTTTTTGCAACAGGCAAATCAAGTGCTCTATAATGCTAAAATTCTCTACAGTTATGTATATTGTAATTTTCTAGCTACATCAGAACATTTTCACATTAAAATTATTACAATTTCAAGGAAGGCATCAGATGAACTACATGTTGCAGCTAAGGCATTTGAAGGCAACAAGCTGAAATTATATTTGTGCATTAAAACTTCTATATTATTCCTAGACATCGTTGATTTATGACGTTAAAAGCAAGATTAAAAATAGGCAAGCGTTCTAAATTATTTGGTCCCACTAAACTTGACCTCAATGTCAACTTCAATTTGTTCTTAACAAGGCGAACTTTAATAGCTTAATTCTACCTTACTTCGTGAAGAATGTGGAACAATAATAAAGTGATTGTCTATAATCATTGAGAATTGATAATTGCAAATGTTTGCGGTTCTCATGATTTGATTGGGTTTGTCAATACTGAGCCGAAGATACTTAAAAATCCACTTAATAATAAAAATGACATGAATAACCAAATGGGCACTATAACGAAATTAAAAGGCCTGGGAAGAGGTTGAAAAACCCAGACGATCTCAGCCCGCATTAAAAAAAAAAAGATTAAATTAATTCTGAATATCCTGAAGGATAAAGTAAGAAATCGTCCGGTGAATAAAAATTTATAACTCAGCTATTTTTTTTAACGTTTGGAAGTCTTTTCGAAGCTAAAACACGTGATTATCTCTTGGACAAGGCACAGACATTGACGTTCACTAACTCTTCAAGAATAACATTTTCACTTTCAAATGTTCATTCGATAATGAATTCATAAGAGTAGCTTGCGTCGCTTGCGTCAGCACTAGTTTTTTTATAAGTTGTACATGATTTTCTGCGTTTAGCCATCCACTTCAGCAAGCTCAGGCAGAGGCGGAGGTCGGTCGGGTTTGAGTTTATAAAAATCTGAGAGCACGGAACTGCTGCTTAGAATATCCATGGTCCAGTCCGCCTCATCTTGCGACTTGTCTTTGATCTCGTCAAGCGCCTCAGCCAGAGGGTTGTCCAAATCCTTCTCTCCTTCAGTAGCTATGGAAATGCCGTCGGCGGTTTTTTCACTGGGAGTTGGAGTGTCGTCTGAGGTAGACGCTTGACTCACTTCCGTCTCGTCTTTTTCGGTGCCTTCGCTAGAATCATCTTTAGGTGGCTTTTCTTTCCTTGACTTTAGTTTGTTATAAAGGCTAAGAATTGAAGACGCTCGAGAAGATAGCCTTTTCTCTGAATTTCTGTTATCGGCTGATGATCTTTCAACGCTATTCTTCTCGGTATCTACGCTATATGCACCGTTTCTAGACTTCCGTCTTCCCGCCCATGTGCCGTACCATTCAACTGGTTTGCTCCCAATTTGACTTAAGCGATAAGAAGAATATTTGTTACCTTCATCGTCGGTCTGACATTGTGGTTCTTTTCGTTCTTTAGGATAGTAACAGCCCGCGGTAGAATGATTTCTCTTGAGACTGGGCGCTGAGTTTCTGACTGGGTCTTGGGGTAGGTCATCGTCTGTTACGCAGCCATCGGCTGCATTCGAGATCGTGTCCATGTCTATGTGATCAGCCTCGTGTTGATAATTTCTGTTAGCAGAAGGCCCATTTTCGTAAATATTTTGTGTATCGTTTCTATTGAAGGATTGATTTCGAAGCGGAAGTCGCCCACGATGAGGATGTTTTCTTGGCCGGAAAACGGGGCGCTCGCAGCTGGTTAGGATGTCACGCACTGTGCTTTCAATCGATTTTGTTTCGTCAAGCTGTTGCGCGTTTGCATCATTTCTTGGAGTATTCAAAGCGTACTCAAGATTCTTCTGAGAACCATCATAATTGAGCGGCTTTTTAAAATGTCCCGTATCTGGGCTAGAGCCATGGTTAGAGTACGGCGGACTCGAAGGCCCGCCTGCCAATTTGGCAGCGCTGAGACGCGACGCAGGTCGTGAGGTATCGAAATCTACAGGTGACTGAGGCTGCTGATGATCTGATCGTGAAGGCGAGTTACTCGGTACTGGAGGCGGGGGCGGAAAGGCGAGCGAATGAATAGCAGGAGACGTTGGTCTCGATGATCGCTGCTTCACTACGGGCAGACCTCCATGGTAAGGGGACGACGATACGGGCGTCAACACCGGAGGGTGAGGCGAGGGAGAAGACCTCTGAGAGGGCTGGTTCAACAAGTACGAGTTGGGCCCAACTGGCAAAAGTTGATATGGCGATGAAAGTGGGCTGGACGCGGGCGACGTCTGAGCTGCGTAGTGGTTCCGGAAACTACCAGCTCGAGATGGAAGAGCAGGAGGTGACTGGTATGGCTTGATATCCACCGATGCAGAAGTAGAGGATGGAACTGAAGGGTGGAAAGATGACATGATTGGAGCATGCATGACAGCAGGTGGATAAGCTGGCAGGAGTGGAAGCGCATGATAAGGGGACACTGGAACAGAACCGGCACTCATGGCGTACTCAGAGTTGGAAGAATTGTGAGCGATCATGCGAATTTCAGGGGGATTAAATTTGTGCCCTGAGTCAGGATCCTCCGGGATATTAGTCACTTGTCTACCGGCGTAACGTCTCGGAAAGCGTCGCAAACTGTTGTATTCGATATCCATATGCGGATGGAACAAATTTGGATCGCCAGCTTGAAGAAGGATTCCTTCGTTCGGTTTCATCATTTCCTCTGGTTGTTCCATTGTTACTGGATAAGAAAAATTTTGCACAGGCATGTTAAAACGTACAAATCCAGCTTCGTTGACTAACATAGATGAAGGCATTGCTTGATGCTGGTGAATTTGGGCGTAGGAGCCCGCCCGTTGATAGTATTGAGGTAAGAGATGAGGATAACCAGGATGATATCCGTAAACAAGAGGCATGCGTGGGGCGCAGTTAAATGTGGCGGACCTCTGGAGTGTAACGCGGGGCCGGATAGATGGGGCTACCTGAGGGTTCAGGGAGACCGGGGTTCGTCCATCTGATTCATCTGTTTCGTTTTGCGACGATGACGTTCTTTGTGAGCTCTCAATGCCGCTTGAATACGATACTCGCTCATACACAAAATTACGTTTTGCGCTCTCGGATTCCGATTCAGGGGAACTGAAAATGTCCTTGGGAACGGCGAAAATCTTATGCCAAATACTAATGTGACGCCCGTCCAGAGTAATAGCACAAGAAATTATCAGCAGAATGATGAGGATTATTTGGAAAAGGACATTAGTGGAGTGACAAAACCACCACAACCAAACCGGGACGCGGGGCAATGAGAAAAACACAGAGAGGCTCAAGTTGCAGCCCCACAAAACAACGGTGACGATGCAAGCTACCAACAACAGCGTCGCCCACAAGGAGAGAATATCTCTTAAGAGATACTGGGCAGCGCGTTGTTCGTAAGCCACAGAGTCTTTAGCAGGAGGCACCATGAGCTTGAGTTCTCCCTGTATTTCCCTGCAGAGCGCTGCGTGAACCTCCCTTATTCTGCAATACTTAAGAAGGAACACAAAGACCGGCAGAAGCGCCACGGCAGTGAGTGTGACACGGCAGGTGATGAGGAGTGCCGTGCTGTGGAGCAGTGACACGGCTATGTCACTGGCGACGCTGGCCAATACTAGCACGATAGATACACGGCCTAATACGGCGCACGATATCGGCCACGGTTCTCTGGCAGCCTCCAAGATACTTTGTAGAACCAAACACAATGCAACCGTAAGGCATGGAACCGGAGTGTGCGTGAGGATAAGAGTGAGCACCAAAGGCAGTCCTTCTTTGCCACCAAAACAAAGGTGGATGAGATGCACTGCAGTGAACGCAGACGCGGTGAAGCACAAGATCATCACGAACAGATAAAGGGTTCTAGAAAGAAGCGCAGTGCAAGAGCGAAGACCCAAAAGGCGGAATAAAGAAAGTATTGCAGCCAGGATGATGAACACCAACAGGATAATGTTCAACGCAAGCCAACCAGGACCGCGTCCAGAGCACAGGAACTCCGCAAGCCAAGACAATCGAGGAGTTGGTTGGGATCCTGGAGTCACGGACATGGTCCCTTCTGAAACCCCATAGCCTTGGTCTTGAAGAGGACTTATGCTTCCATGGAGTTCCGTCGCTGGTTTATGGTCAGAATCTACTTCAGTGTCTGAATTGGGATCCGATTTTGCCGGTGAGTCAGGAAAATCGTTATCGTTCGAAATGGCGTCGTTGTCAGGCCCCTGTAACGCTGCAGGAGGACCCATAAGAAACTCGTTTATTGAGCCTTCTTTTCCTCCCACTTTATCGTATTGAATTTCTGGATCATCACCACGTGGGCGCTCAGAGACAGAAGTTATGTTGCTAATCTTCGCCTCAATTTCATGGTTTTCTTTTGTTCTACCGACGTCGCGTTCTTCAGGAGCAGCCGTCTTCACCGCTGTCAACTTCATCGTATCAATTTTCTTTTTGTTGTTATTGGCGGCTGTGTTGGGCGATGCATGCAATATTGTATTGAGCTGTTCGTCGACACCATTGTTCGTAGAGGATCCCGAAGTAGCCACGGTATTTTTTTCCTGCGTAGTTGACCGCTTGCGTCGCATGTCAGAAAAGTGGTTGGCAATATCCGGCCTCACAGATTCCTCTAAAGGGGAGTTTGATTGAAATCGTTGGCTCGGGTGAGGGGCGTTAATTGAGTGCCGGGATTGTGGCGCAGTCTGCTGTCGTTCGTGAAGATATTCGGGACCGGCATCTTTTAAATTCACCTTGGACGCTTCAAATAAAGACGCCTTGCATAGCAACGTACTGCACGTAAAGGCTATAAACAAATTCAACTTCATTTTCTCATCAAATTAAAACTTCAGCAAGGAAAAGAATGGTAAAGTTATCACTTCTCCGTTCGTAATTCAAGTATTGCTTTAGGAATATATCCGGTATAAATTTTCCTTGAGCATCTCATTTTGTGTAGATTTTGCACATTTAACCGTCAGCAGAATGGAAAATATGATTTACATTCTTGAGAAAATATCTCTGCCCATCACTCCCTAATTTCCGGTTACCCTACGGTAATTTACACAAAAAATGTGAAGTTTTCACGTTACCTAAAAAATGCGCTCGCAATTATAATACAGAAAACGCTTAAAGGAACTTGGAAGACATCGTTGGCGGTCTCTTAGGAACTTTAAAAAGTTGTCCAGGTCGCAGCAGTCGTTGTTGAAACTAAAATTAGAGCCTTCGTCTTCAGCAGCAGCGGTCGCAATGGGCGGCTTCTCCCCAACAGCAGCCTTTTCTAGTGCCTCGACCTGGAAGAGAAAAATAATTTCAGGGACGCAGAACAATGAATACAAGAAAAAAACGGGCTGTAAATGAAGACAGATTAGTTATATATAGGCTCGATTCCTCTTAGAACGTTTAATTGCTTGCGAACATCGATTCGACAAAAAATTGTTCTAAAAAGATCCTGGTATGCAAAAGAAATAATTTAAGAAAAATTTTAAATACCATAAGAAATATGTATGTAAGGAGCATGACGATATTGACGAGGGATCTTGAAAGTCTGCATGTTACGCAAGCATTCGTGGTGAGGTTTTGGACGTCAGTGCCATTAGCGATGCGGTTTACACTTACTTGTATAAAAAAATTCAAGGTAATACGCAGTGAACTCATATTCTAGCTCATAACACAAAGAAATTTCCACATATAAAACTATTCTGTACTATCACACTTCGCTTAGCACCATTACGCACCATTTTTCACCACCACGCCACACACCAGGAAACCTTTGAATATCACCACACACATCTCAAAGAACACCATTACTCATCACCACACCACACACCAGGAAACCTTTAATTATCACCACACACATCACAAAGAACACCATTACTCCTAACCACACCACACACCAGGAAAACTTCAATTATCACCACACACATCACAAAGAACACCATTATTCATCACCACACCACACACCAGGAAACCGATTATCACCACACACATCACAAAGAACACCATTACTCATCACCACACCACACACCAGGAAAACTTCAATTATCACCACACACATCACAAAGAACACCATTACTCCTCACCACACCACACACCAGGAAACCGATTATCACCACACACACCACAAAGAACACCATTACTCATGACCATACCACATTCACACAGCTCCATCACTCAGCACAAGCCATTACTCAACACGCAGCTGCTCTGACAGCAGATAAACAAGCGCGTGTCTGGACAGAATACTCTGTATATTTCTTGTACAACTTTTATTTTGAAGAGTAAAAAAAGTACTTTTGCTCTGAATTTTCATTTGCCGTTCTATCAAAACTAAACGTACAGATGAGTGAGCAATACGCATAATGAATGATAATATTCTTCTTCTAGTGTTATGGATAAATTTGCTCAAGTAAATAGTTTGAAATTCATTGGCTAAATACAAGAAATGGAATTCATTAGCTAAATACTAGATATATTAATAACTAATTCTTGGAGTCATTTCATCATTCTTCTGCATCCGTTTATGCGCACAGTGGAGGTCATTATTAATATTCAATGGAAATAAAAAAGATAATAATAGCGTGCTGGCAACTGGGAATGAGTTCCTTGCGAGCTGAATCCCTGACGAGGCAGCGCTCGGGAATCAATATCGGGAATCTGGAATGCAACGCCTGGTCTGAGTGGTAACCCGTGCTGCCTTTACAACCATATAAATATAACCCACTATAGTTCCTACGTACAGCAATATGGAAATTATCTAAATATGTTCTCATTGCTTACAAAATTAAACAATTACTGTAAAAGTCTAGCAAAAACTGGAAGAAAACTGTTTAATAAAACACGAAAAAAATATAACCCAGTACTCACTGCAGTGAGTGACAGAGAGCGCATTTTCTCGTTGACGGACGGACAGACAGACAGACGGACGGACAGACATGGCGAGCACAATAGTGCATTTTTCCATAAATGAGAAAAGGCGCTAAAAAGCGTGAAAATACTCGTTTCGAATGAAATTAAGTCGTGCATTCAAGTCCGAAGCTGACGACTCGAAAAATACTAGATGCTCGATTAATTATCAGTCGTGCTTGAGCATAGAAATTAAATTTCATTTTGGATAAGCTAGCAACAAGCCCGTTTTCATACGAAAATTACGATTGAAAATATACTATATGAAAATGAAATATAATGAGAATATTTCAGGTCATGCAGTCAACGAATGAGACTTGACTGGCACGGATGATCGTCTCGAACACATCTGTTTTTTTTTTCAGAAAGAGGGGCGCTGAATAATGTCAGCGGGATTGTGTTTAAAAAATATCGAGAAGCTAAACTTTTGTTTTACAAAAAATGCCACCGGAACCATTCGTGGCGAACAAATCAAATGCTAAGAAAGTTTATTTTCTTTACATTTGCATTAGCGATACTCAAATAGGATATTAATAAGCACTCCTAGGTAATTATACCCAGAGCAACTGCAAGAAACGGATTTACGTAAATCATAATGACGGAGAACGTTACTGTGTGGCCGCAATGAATAGTCTGACCTCATAGCACGGGTTTTTCGTCGGATTATACTCCAGCTCAACGTAGTTTTGCAATTTCGGGTCCAGCGTACCTCAAAAGTTGAATAAATTCCGTTCAGGGGAGAGAGCAATGAAACAAGCAAATTAAACGAGCGCAGCTTGGAACTGCGACCGGGAAATAAAATGTTAGAAACCGCATACGTTGTTTGGCTCAAGCTCTGGGACAAGTTTTTCGTTGCTATATAAGACCGAAATCGCTGCACAAAACATGCTGCGGCTCGTCTATGGGATTCCCTCAACAATTGCAATTGCCCAACTTTTGGCCAGACGCGAAGTTTGCAAGTGCATTGCAATAGGCGAGATTTACTGCACGGCTCTATTATCCAGCGCGCAAACAACACTTCTTCGTTCTACTAACTCGACGCGGATACAAGAAAACCATACCAATGACTTTGTTCTCGACTTCACCTTCCTGTCAGCCGAAACTTGGATTGAACGACTCCATTCACAGGAACTTCTAAGCAACGAGTCGAAAACTCTGGAAATTTCTGCATTAAAGCGTGCCTGCGATCGGGTGAATGATGAAAGCTATGCATGTCCGACGAGTTGACAAGATTGAATGCTGAAAGTTGAGCAATCTTCAAGGGTAAGCAAATAAAGAATAATGGAAGGCAGTTTGAATAAAATGAGTGTGTTTGTACAGTGTTAAGTTCGGGGAGCTCAACATAATGAAAATTAGAAAAAGATTCAACTTATGGTGGCGAATCTTCAACTTTTTTTTCTAATCATATAACTTCATAGCTAGCGTTGCGTTGTTTATAATATTAATTCACTTAGTAAACGGAAAAGTTTTAGTTCCTTAATCGGCCGGCAGAAAAATTATGTGTAACTTGAATGCCTTGAACGTGCTGAGTTCAGCATTTGCGAACTCTGGTATTAGATAGAATCTTGTTCCATCAAGGGTTTAAATAATTTGGCTAAAAATTGGTAATATCAAGCAGACAAAATGAAATACTCAGTTTCACAAAGAAAAGTTCAAGTTATTATATGAATATATTAAAGAAATTTTAATCGTCTTTCTTGTGCAAATGTACGCTTCAAAAAAACTATGCCGAGCAAGGCCAGTGCTGAACAAAAGTGCTTTGTAAAAGTCTGAAATAAAAATAGCTTTATTGCATCAATATTTCTACTTTATAAACACGATAAAAATGATGGAATTGTCGAAATACAACTTTAATCTGCGTGGAGATGGAACTTTGTTTAAACAAGCTTCTATTTTCCAATGGGTTAAGATATATACCGCATTGTACCGCCGCTTTTAAATGGGTTTGTCTCTTGGGTCTTTTCGAGTTTTACGAAATAGCAAGTCAGCAAAGGCACACAGAAAAGGAAAAAATTGACTTGGACGATGATACAGCATTCACGAATTTTTCTCTTAGCTAATGAATGTTCCCACTCATAAAACGTTAAAAATTCCATCAGCCGCAAGACGCCTCCTCACATGAACTTCAAAGCTAACACCTGTGCAAATAAGTTTCCAAAGTAATCTAAGTGGTGAAAATTACGTCGGAGAAAATTCCGAGGAAGCTTTGACCGAGTACAATTTCAGGCCCTATACTGAGACTCTTGGAAAGGGAAGAGTAATATTGGTGAGGGAATTATGAAGAGGTCATCAGAAGTGGGCTTCACTAATAAGCTTGCTGCTGAATCAGACCCAAAGTTTGACACTTTTTAGCTCAGAGTCGGCCGGGCATGTAATGACGCATCTTAATAAAAATATTCCCTAGCGCAGACTTATGCCATCCTGCTTCGACTAGCGTAATTCTCTTGAAAATTGTCGCCTGATTGACCAGCCCATGTGAGAAGTTCCAAACCCTATTACTCCGTCTGTAATTTTTGCTTAATTATTTTGTATGTAAATGCTTGATTAATTCATCAGCATGCTGTGTGTTCGCGGTTTAATTTATATTATTACTAATCATGACATGAATAATGATGCTCAAGCTTTACATGGATCAGTTAGCGACACCTAAAATTTACATTTGGCCTTATTAATAACAAGCATTTTGAATATTTTAAAATTTTATTGGCACCAAGAGATTCATTGAATGACAAGAAAATCAAAATGAACAATTGGCTCTACTAATCGTTAAGATAAACAATGATGCCATTCAACGGGATATTAACAAGACAAAAAACTATTATAGAGTAACTTGCAAGCTTTTCATGTTGAATTATCGAATGTACTCCTGAAAGAGCCTGATCGAGACAACACTGAATTTTTTTAGCACAAAGTGCGATGAGAATGGCCGGTAACCTGGAAGCTTGTCTTAGAATCACGCAACCTCTGAACTCCAACTAACTGCAGTGAATCTGGCAAAAGTTAGGCTGTGGCGTGTATAGCCCTCCCTACCTCACAGAGCGTACGTGAAACTTTCCAGCGACAAGTTAGATGCAGCTCTACCGAATAACTTGAGAACATTCAACATTGTTCTCTCACTTCTCAGCCCCCAAGATTGTTTGTCTCGTAAAATGTACTCCCCTATATGATTGTAGAAAAGTTGGAGTTTGGAACGTGCTCTGTTTAATTTTCAAATAGGAAATGAATAGGTTGGCATGAAAATTATGATCGGTCGATAGACAGCACTTTCAATTACGATTTACGATGCTGATGAGATTTAGTACGATATCATGATGGCTAGCGCAATTCAGATCATTGCGATTGTAATCCATTCATCGGACACATGGTGCGTACGGTACTCTTCATGCTT